TGATAGATTATATATTAATATCTTTATTGACAGGTGTATTTGATGCCTGCCTCCCCGACCAGCAGCACTCGCTTCGCTCGTGCCGCAAATGTCGGGGGCAGGCATCAATTTTTTTCAACGCAATTTTTAACGTACTTTCGACCGCATAGTAAGAAAACTAGTATACACTACATGGGCAGAAATTTGAGAGCCCTGAACTGCGTGCCATGATGCCCTCAGCTTCGCCTCGGGCATATGGCGCGCAGTGCAGGAATCTCAAACTTTCTGCCCTTGTAGTGTAATATACTATTTTCTGATTGGCAATATATGGCCTGATATGGTAACATATGGCCATATTATTCATATGTAAGGAATATATCAATAATGATCAAACTGAAAACCAATATCAACTTTTGGAGAGTCAAAAAAAGATTTTTGTTTTAGAAATTAATACTTTAAAATTTAACTCTCTTGTTAGGAGAATAATCAGCGAGCATGCGCCATCTGTTGGAAATTTTCAACATTATCTTGATCAAAAAGTTACATATGACCATATAAAACCTAATATGAGTATATTAAACCAGATACATCCATATACGGTCGAATATCATTCATTTTCATATCTAGCAACATTTCATATGAAAAAAATTACAATATATTTTTTTTTTAATAGATTACGAAAAGATTAGAAATTTTCAACTAAATTTTGATGGGTTGAGTTTAAAAGTGGTCGAATTAACATGAAATATCTCACACATGTTCTTGATGATAACAATATTAATAATAATAATAATAATAATAATAATAATAATAAAAATAATTTTAAAAAAAAATAATAATAATAAAAACAAAAATACTGTAAAATAATAATAATAATAATAGAGCTAGAAAAGACACTGTTTGTTAAAAATTTTTTGTAATCAAAACGAAGATGCCCACTTATAATTTTTATGAGAAATAAAGGGTAGGAGCTCACGTTATACCATTACTCAAAGATGGCAGAAGAGTCCAGTAGCCTTAATCTCAGCACATGAGGCCTTAATGGGATTTTAAGGCGTCGAGACCACCTGAGCGCTACTGCTTCAGCAAACGACCTCGTTTATCTCTTTTTTTTTTCTCCCTCTCTACATGCGCCGCGGGATCCCTCATACCTCATACATAAACGCACCATCTTATCTGTTATCTGGTGCTATGGATGACAACAATTATTTTATAAATGTTGTCCCATCCCCTTTCATCCTTCATTATTTTTGCTTATTTAATTTATTTATGATAAATGTATCATGATTCTAGGGTTGGCGTTGGACGAGCACATTTCGAGAAACAACCACCAAGCAATTTAAGGAAAAGTAATTTCTTTCATTTCGTTATCGCTCTTTACGATCGTAGCGGCCAGCCAATCGAAATTGAAAGGACTGCGTTCATCGGATTTGTTGAAAAGGACCAGGTTAGTTTTATTTTTTTATTATCGTTGTTTTGATATTGGTAGGGCAGGAAAAAATGCTAGTTATCAAAATGTGACACTCTTTAGCTTTTATTATAATTATTACGCTTTAAAACTATCAATTTAAAATTTAAATGAAAATTTTTACCACTTTACAAGGACTGAATTCCTGTTTTTATTTAAATCAAATGAGACTCGTTTGTTATAAATAAATCTCATGTTTAAATACCACCAACTAATATTTATTTGACACAAATAAATGAATTTATTTCAGCCAAAGATATGGTTGATTTAGTGTATTAATTTTAATTGAATAGTCATTTGTTTATAGTTAACAAATCTTTTTTTAATACTTGTTAAAAGTAATCCATGTTTAAAAAAAAACAAATTTGTTAATATTAAATACGTATTTTTAAGTTATCTTAAATAAATCTACGAATTTAAATCAAACAAATTGTTTTTTATGAAATTAGAGATTTTTAAACAATTTTTGTTGAAAAAACACATAAGTTAACATAAAAAAAATTTGTAATAACTTCCACTCAATCCTGATTAACAGTGTAAGGTGTTATACATCCAAATGATAATAATAACTTATCAAAATATCAATCTACTAATTATTACAGTATCTTAATCCAACAATCTGACTGTTGACTTAATAATCGCAATTATGACGTAAAATGAGTTATATTTACCAGACTGTTGCTCTGCATGTCAATCAAGAGTAGTAATGAAAGGACGTGTGTAGGTTTATCTATTCTTATTCCTGTCCTTTACCTTTCTCGCTTCCTCTTGTGGCTGTCTATCTCCATATATGTACGGATAATATAATTCACGTGGTTAGACAGTTGCATTGCGTGGCCTCCCTATTAATAAGGGTCATGCACCGCGGACATATATCAGTCCCTGCTTAGACTAAATAGACGCAATATATACATCCAATACTAAATTCGGTAGAAGATGAAACACATAAGTATCACCCCATCATCAGCATACAATATATATTAACATACACATGCACACAAATGGGTATATACACGTCCTTACGTATATAAATATAAATATAAATATACAAAGATAAGTCATACATAAAAAGTTTGGAAAATCCGTGGATTTAAGTTTATTGCTAATTATAATTAAACTACATTGAATTAGACCGTAATCTTCGAAAGGACTTAGTTTTGGATGATACTGAAGCGTATAAACAAAAATGGACTTGATCAGTTAAGTTTTTCGGCAGTTATCGTGATGACGCCAGTTTCCATATTATACATACATCAGACACACGGACGTCGACAGGATAATTTTTATAGAAATTTTTCTTGTTTAATTAAAAAGCAAAAAGTCTTTTAAAAATCTCATAACACGGAAAAAAGTAAACTTTAAAATTCACTCGGATTCCGGTTAATTTTTATAGTTTCAAACAGTACAGCGGAAATCGGGGTGGCAAGAATATAAATATAACAGAACTTAATGTAGAAAGTGTAAAAGCCACAGTTTATAATTTAATATCGAAAATAAGTGATTAGTAGCTGTCACTATAGTAAATAACGACTCTCTCATCTTGAAAAATTACAGTTTCAAACAGTAAAAATTGCCATTTCAATATATAGTCCATACTATGAGAAGAAGGGGAACTCAGATGAGAAGAAGGGGGTCTCACTCTGGGAGAATTTAGCATTTGAAACAGTAAAAATTCTACTTTTAAAATATACATTTTACCAGTCCGAGCAGGTCAATAATTATACACAGTAAAATATTTTGCGTCATTGCGTCAAAAAACTTGGTGTTAAAAATTTTTGTGTCAAATATTTAACACTTTTTTGTGTTGATTTAACATTTATTGTGTTAAATCAACACCAAAAAGTTTTAAATCAATACAAAAAAATGTTAAATATTTAACATAAAAATTTTTAACACAAAATTTTTTGACGCAATGACGTAAAATTTTTTACTGTGTAGTTTCATTTTTAGCGTTGCGTTAAAAATTTATCATTTTACTTTGTAAATATTGACGTTGCTTATATTAGAAACTTAGTCACTTTATTTTATACTTTTTACATATCATGCGATCATTTTTTAGGTACGAAATGATAAATATCAAAGTCAAAATTCTTAATTATTATACTTTAACATTTTCGACACTCACATAGCGAATATTACTGTTTGAAATAGTATTTTCTTCCATTTAAAGAATGAATTGTATCCTTTAAATGATAAATATTATAAAGTGCACGCATAAAACGATTTTGTTGAAATAACAAAAGACGGGATAACTGAAAAATATGTCCTGGTAACAAATGAGTATGTTTATAGCAACAAATCCATTAGTTGCATTAACAAAAAGTTTCAAGTTGTACTAACAAACCAGTTTGTTAAATCACAAAATAAATTTGTTGCTCTAACAAAATTATTTTGTTGCTATCACAAAATGACTTTGTTGCTGCAACAAAATCATTTTGTTGCTGTTACCAAGTGATTTTGCTGCTGTAACAAAGTGGTTTTATTGCAATAACAAAACTAATTTGTTGCTTTTTAAATGTATACATATAAAATTTACTGTAACAAATTTATTTGTTATTCCAACAAATTCTCATTGTTATTTTTACAAATTCACTTTATTACTTCAACAAATTGTCTTTGTTAATCCAACAAATTCTCTTGGTTATTTTAATAGAATAATTTTGGTGTTTCAACAAAAAAATTTGTTATATTACCAACTAAAGTATTTTGTCGAATCAACTAAAAGATTTTGCTATAGTAACAAAACTAATTTGTTGTTATAACATATCAAAATAACTTGTTATAACCTAAATTTTGTTATTTCAACATATGATTTGTTATCCCTATATTAACAAATTCATTTGTTACCACAACATATCTTAGGTTATCTTAACAAAATTTTTTTCTGCGTGTGAATAGTAAAATCACGATTTTACTGTTTGAAATGGTAATTTTTAACAGTTGATCATTACTTATTATAAATCGACTATTATTTATTGTAGTTTACTTTTTTCCGTGGTGTTGAAACTAGTGTTTTTTTATAAAATTTATGTGTAACTATTCTACAAGTGCGATAAAAAATAAATAGAGACAATTTTAGTTAAAGAAATCACTTGATTTTTGTCAGGCAAGAGTAGAGCACACCTCATCCGCTTCACTCATGCATGTGCAAGTATATAAAAATATATTTTTGAATACATCTTTAAGATAGCTGATACTTTAAAAGCTGTAAAATTTAATAGCAAATAAAATTAATTTTTTCTAATTTATGTGTGATTATTCTAATATTTAAAATATTTTTTATAATTATTTTTGTAGTGCAAAAAAATTTTTTTTCAGATGTAGATAGTCGTAAGTTCACTTTTGTACTTTAAAAGAAAATTTATCGGTGCCAAATAAAAAATATCTGCAATTTTTTTGGTGCTTTATTAAAAGTTTGACTCGTCAGCGTTTCAAGGGTTTCTGAGCACACAGTAGAAAATGCATTACTAACTAGCATATGGTGTTATGCACGCACCACTCATTGTCAACCAACCCATAGTAATTATGCATTGCACGCCACAATACAATATAATGACGCGCGACTCTTACGAACGCATCAAGAAATTAATAATTATCACGAGATACATTACTATATTAAAGCAGACATACATATATATACATAAATGAGAGTAGTGGACATGTTATATACTACACCCTTAATAAATTTATTAATTAAATTAGATCATGATAATAAAACTTGTTATTCCAAGGCATTTCAAGAAAATAGAAGACAATTTATTTATTTAATTAAATTTTTTTTATATCATCATAAATAAGTAAATTATTTATACTTATATGAAAAATATAAAACTAATATTTTGATAATTATATTTCTTTAAAAGATATATTACAATAATAAGAACTAAAATCGAATGTGTTTTAACTGAGATTAATTTTTGAATATTTAACTTTCAGGAATCCGAGGGACAGAAAACAAATAATGGAATTCAATATAGACTGCAATTACTTTACGCCAATGGTAAGTTGTCGCTCATTTTTAAATTAAGATTTAGGCTTAGCTATATTGAGAGAAAAATCTGGTTGAATATCATCACCATTATTTAATTGAAGTTCTTATATGTATATCTAAGACTATTTATTATATTGAACCCCAACAGATAGTTTCAAATTATTTTTAGTTAAATATATGCTAAATAGTAATCTTGATTAATTTTAACTCAGAAAACAGAAAAAATAATTCAGACAGTCCGGACCGGGAATCGAACCCGGATATTTTGGTTACACACCAAGGGCTCAGACAGTTAAGCTATCTAAGACATCACCTGTAACAATCTTTCAGCCACCTAATAATTGTTTGTTTAACACGATAACAGAAAAATATTTATTAAAATATAGTCGATATAACTATTTATCAATAGTTACTTAAAGTAGTTGGGTCATGCGAGCAAAATTTCAAGAAACCTTCCAAATTTATAATATAAATAATTAAATGCATAATGCACATGCTGTTAAAATTTGGAGACGATTTACCACGTCTAACCGAAGATAATTGCAATTGAAAATGACATTTTTACACAGGTGGTATGGGAAAAGAGAGAGAAAACCGCGAAATTTTATTATTTTTGTATTAAAGAAATTTTAAGAATTTCACGAAAAACTAACATTACTTAGATTAATACATGTATAATTACCCTAAAAAATTCTGGAATTCCCTACTATATAGTTTTTCAGAAATTATTGATAAACTAGTAAAGGAAACAAATAAAGTCATACGTGGAAGTAAGTGAGCAATAGCCCGTAAGAGAGACGACACTAGCGAATGAAAAAGACAGCAGTAGTATAAACTATAGGTTGGGAAAGAACTACCTTAAACTATTGCAGAGTTCGAGTAACTACAAGAAAAAAGTTCTGAAAACTATATTTTTATACTTGTAACGTTATAATCCAGCTAATTAAAAAAAAAAAAAGAATTATGTAAATTTCAAGTTACCTAAATTTGTGACAACTATTTATGAGTTATCATTTGTAGTTACCTGCATTCGTCTTTGAGAAGAATTAATACCAATCGATGTGATAAATGCTCCCAGTATAGAAATTTTTAAAAATAAGCTTTATGATTACCTTTTTAATCTAGACATCTAAATCCAAACTAAATTTTCAGTTAAATCTTTAAAATTATTAAAATCAGTAAAATTATTAAATCACTAAAATTATTAAAATTAAAATCTTTAAATTCATAATCATAAATATTGTAATCTATTAGTTTTAATTTTCACTTAAACTGTTTCTTCAAAATTAGTATATAAGCAATACTACTTTTACTCATATTTTATTATGTATAATTATATATAAATTCTAATTATTATGTTTAAATTAAAAATTAAAAAATGTATTGTATTCACAAAATGTATATTTTTCTTTTGCCATCTGGCCAGTCAAAGCTTTGGCATAGATCAATAAATTCAACTCAATTCAATTCAATAATTATGCACTTTTACCTCGGTTCTCTTATGAGCAACTAATATGTAAGCCATAATTTTCATATTGGCTATGTACGTTGATTATATAAATAAAAAAAAAGTATTTTATCAATTAATTGTCATTTCCGAGAGTTATAGTGCTAACACCACCATATAAAGGAAATTTTCTTAAAATTTTTTAAATTCATTTTTCATATGAAATTAGTCACTAATTAGCTTCAAGCTTCCATAAAATTCCCAATCATTACAAGACTAACACGATAACAAAAAAATGTTCGTCAAACTATAGTCGATATTACTATTTATCAATACTTAAACTATTGCATAGTTCGAGTAACTAGAAAAAAAAAGTTCAGAAAACAATATTTTTATACTTGTGACATTTTAATTCAGCTAACTATGCACTTTTCTCTGAGTGTGATTGCCCGACGTTAATCACCGTATACATACAAAATAACCTCGCACATAAACTATATATAATTCTCTCAAGTTTTATCCTTAAGTTTTTACCAGATTTTGTTGTCATTCCAATAATCTGAGCTGACTGGAAATCAACAATTTAGGCAAGTTGAAAAGAAATGTCGGTCGGGCGTCCCGGGTGACGAAAATGCTGACACCTCGAGCAAAACATCCGGTGTGACTGCTATCGATCTATATGTTGGATACCACACACCATACCATGATGATAGTAAAAAAAAGACAGGGACAGTGATAGATAGAATCCGCGGCACACGCGAAAGAGTATATATAATGGAGTATGGTTGAAGAAGCGACGATGACGCTCACATTGGCATTTTTGGTGGACACGCGGGTCTCCAGAGCTGCTAAAAAGTTACAGAGTGATGCGAGCAGATGAGTGCCCATCGAGCGGTGCTGATCACAGAACATCACCCAAACAGAGACATATTTTATGTCAATGGATGCTTGATGCTTGATTGCATGATGTGCTGCCGCCGCGGCTACTCCAATCGTCGCTTTTGATTCTTCTTTATTTATCTTTGTATAAAAAGAGTCCCACATGTGCCAGTGATGACAACACTTAGAGGACCCTTGCATTTTATTGCTCCCTTCATCCGTTTGTTAATTACTGATGTCCGAATGTTAATAGGTTGTATGGAATAATGCCAATCATTTTTTTACTTCTCACCAATAAGCTTGATGTTTTTGAAAATTAAGAAAATTTCTTTTTATTTTGCGGTAAAATATATTATAGACCTGTCATAATTTTTTTGGGTAAATCTATTAGGGCTTGTGCACTAAGACATTTCCAGGTCGCGCGAATAGTCATCGAAAAATTCTTCTTTGCCAAGGAAATTATCGTAAATTTAAAATCAATACGGATTCATTATTTATTATTATAGAATATTTTATTATAAAAATTTACTGTTAAATTAATGAAATATTATTATTAAAAATTTTATAAGTTTAATATTTTAGAAAAATTAGATTTTAATTCAATAAGATTAAATGTTGAATTAATTTTTTTGATTCATTTTATTTTTTAAGGTTATATCGCTTAACATATAACCTCAATAGAAATAAAATACTGGTTAATATTACCAAAAAATTACAAATGTCATTACCGTACATTCTTCCAAAGAATATTAAACTAATTGCATAAAATTTTATTAAAATGATAATTGTACAAAAGTATTGTTAAAATTAATTATAATTCAGCAACAACTGATCACTAAAAAGTGTAATTTTTTATATAGCTTACAAATCGCGAGCGATTGCAGCGCCGCCTTAAATTCTATAGCTAATACCGTTACTTGAATTAATTTTTATTGGTAAATTTTTTAGTGGTTTCAGTAAAAATATTTAATTTTACCGTAATTTTTAATGTTATAAAAAAAATAATTTTTTACATTTATTATTTTCTACCGATCCACTACAGCACAAAATTAATTGTACTTTTCTATAATTTTTATGCATTACATTTGTAAATAATTTAAAAAATGCTAATTAGATCTCTCAATCACTGTAATTAAAAAAAAAAATAATTTGTGAATAAAATTAGCTCAAAAATTGTTACAAAAAGCTATTATATAAATTTTTAAATTTTCTGTAACACTGCAATCACTTTATTTTCATATCTTTGTCTTTATCGACCCTCACAATTTTCATATTTCTCAACAAGCTCTATTTATTTCGGTGCAATGAATCAGAAATATCTCGGCAAAATAGCGTAAAACTATATTTATATATTAAGGACAATGAAGAAACCTAAAAGAAAAAGAAAAATAAATGTATTGGGGTCTAATAATAACAAAATAAACAAAGATATACGTAGGGAGGATAAATGATAATGTTCTCGACAGTAAAAATAAACCTAAAAAAATTCGATAAAAGTGAAAAAGTATCGACGGGGACTAAAAAAGTATAAGATATTACTATCGAGCAGTGCAGTACAATAGGATTATTCCATTTCCTCGTTCTGTTTTTGACGAAAAGTGGTCCATTAGCATAACTAGGAGATATCTGTGGGTTTTTGGTGATGGTGAATGGATAAGTCAAGTGAGTGAATAATAATAACCACTAAAAGACTGAAGAATAAAGAGGGTGATAGAGAATAAGAAGAAGAGACAGACGAGTTAAAGGAAAAAGCGGATCTTCTTTTCAAGGATGATCGAGTTGATGCGGGCCTTAATCGGTCTTTTAGTATTGGTTTGTACTACTACTTTTGTTTCTATTATAACTTGATGTGTGTATCCTCGTCTCATCATTTTCAGCCTCGCTTGTACAATCATCTACACAGACAAGTACAAAGACAAAGACAGAGACCAAAGAAACAACTACCTGTGGATGGACGGACGAACGACAGTCCGTGGAAGACGTTCTGCGAGGATATGAGGAGACCCAATGAGATGATCGAGACAAAAAGAGATCAAGCGCCAGATATGGAGAAACTTTGCCATCCCTCGAATACCACAGATCACTCCTTATTTATTATTTAATTACAGATTTATTGGTTGCAGCGAATGACGAGAGATTGGTGATATAAGATGACGTTCAACATCTACTTGAACAGGGAATACAACTAACTGATACACGATCCACAAGACTCAAACGGAGATAACTTTTAGTTTAAATTTGCTTCCTAGTAGTTACTCCTAGTGTCTATACATATACATTAAACTTACCCGGAGAATTTATTACCATTATCATTATAAGAACTGTTTTTGTTACGTTAAGTCATTTAGGAATTTAAATTGGCTGTGACCACAAAGGACTCAGATACCTCAATGTGTTTGTTATATGATATTAATTTTCATAGCGGAAATTTATTTTTAAAATTTTTATTTTAATGGAAAAATAATTCGAAAAAATATTTCAAGATTTCAAGCGGTAACATCTAATTCGCTAGAAAAATCTTGAAATACTTTCTCATATGGCTATTTGTTGCGATGATAGAGCGTCTTGAAAAAAAAAAAAAAAAACGTGATTCTGACAGAATTGACATACACAAAAGAAATGGATGGAGTGGACAGAGACAGTTAAGTTTCTTCTTTAAGGAAGAACCTGATCAGTTTTTGCTTTCTAAGAGTTGCACTGGTCTGTAATTTTCTGATTCCTGCAGCGTTCTTTCTAAAATTTTGACAAGCATATTCGTATTAAACAGTT